GGCTTCACTTGTCTCTTTGACGAGTTGTAATATAGTGCTACGAATGGTAAAACTCACTGACGATGCCGGCTACGATGCCGGAGAAACGTCTGGGAATGTACCACGTCCACGGTCTGACTTTAGAAATAAGTATGCATACAATGGACTCAGGACAAGGTGCGTTTATATAAGCCTTCCTACCATTATGACCATGTTGCGAAAAGAAGGTCAAACAACTTCTATACAACCAAAGAAGACTGCGACCACACAAAAGGCCACACCATCTTGGTCTTCATATCTAAGAAAGTAATGTTGAAAAAATAAAGGTAATTGTTAAGAAATATTTTCTAAAAAATCTGAAGCAGAGATAGAGGATGGGTCTTTGATAATGCGATTTCATACAGTGATTTAAAGATTGACGAGAATATGGAACGATTGAATGTAACAGAAATCGGCATCAACTAGCCTGGAGCAGATTATAAGAGCAATTTATGTGATGGCTTACTGGGCAAGGCGACTATTCAGAGTTTAAAGCTAACAAGCCGGTTATGTAAAGCATCGATTAGCCTGAGAAAAACGAATCAAATGTTCGTATCCTGGTGCCAGTTTGTGTGCGTAATACAAGCATCTACTTAGGGCTCGTCAATGAAGACCTTTTGCAGATGAAATAGAAAGGTGAAATGATGAAAGTTTAGGAGGTATTAAATAGTATTGATGACCATATAGAAGAACGCTGTAAAAATAGCTTTCGAGTTGTTGTGCATGGAGCAGGTCAAATGACATTAAGCTATATTCTATGAACCCGAAGGGAGGCTAAGTGACATCCAGGAGTTAGGTTGAATAAAGAATCCACCAATTGTAGGGAGGCTTGTCTGAGCAACATAAACTTCGTTATGAAGGCATGCTAATAAAAATTCAATGTAAGGAGCGTAAATAACTATGATATATATGGAAGGCATTAGGAAAGTGCTATCCAGAGCTTCTTTAAAAACAGGGCCATGCCACGAGAAAAGAGGCTGAATAAACCGTAACGAAATGCAAGTGTAAACATGCGAAAAACCATAAATTGTAGATGATCATATCTAAATTGGTGCTTGCTTTGTTATCATTCTGCCGAGCTGAAGCCTAAACTTTGATATGAAGATAGAAAATCAAGGTATACGAAACAAACGTGGTCTGTCATTTCATCAAAATAGAGAGGTCAACGGTAAAAAATTACACAAAGCAATTATATGTTAAAGTCCTCATAAAAATAAATCAAGATTTCGCTTGCCTGGCTGAACTTATGAGTCAACCTACCAGTATTTCGTATCAAGTAGTCGAGTACCACTAGCTTCTGGAACTGGTAAAGAAAGTCATTGAAAGACCGCACAGGTAGCGGCTCCGTGTCGAAGCGACGTAGCCAATATTCAGCATCCCGGCACCCATCGACGAATAGCTGAAAAGAACCAGCCTGACAAGCGAAGGAAAAAGAAAAGCACTAAGCAGTTTGGCACTAACTCACAGTTCCAAAATAGTATTGCTCTCAGCAGTTACGTTTCTCGTTTGGAAATAGGTTTTCGAGATTATCAGTAAATTAGATATATAAGAGTTGCTCACCCAATCTCGTTAAAGGTGATGAAGGAGTGATAGTTTAATTTTTCCACAATTGGATTGAATTTCACATAGCCTAGATTCCCAAAGGTATTTACAGCCAGGACGGATTGCAGTTGCGACCTCGCCTAGGTCTCATCAGCACCCCCATCGAGACTCTAACAATGACAATACAGCGTATAATCTCAACAAGTCAACCACTACGCCAGATTATCACGTGTCCTTGGGTCACAGGGCATATGTGAATTTCAAGTAAGGCCGAACGATTTCCAATATCACATTCTGTGGTGGGATTGTCGATTAAGCAATCATTTCTGCTATAACAATATACTAAATTATTTATGTTTTTGAAGCCCACTTTGGATGGAAATACATTTTGAGAAGCAAGTCTATATTAAATTAAATAGAAACGTAAGGTCCAATTATAAAATTGTGGAGAAATTTAAATACAAGTCCCCTTATCATCTTAAACGAAATAGGATGAACACATCTCACAGTATAAATTTTAGCTTAATTTCAATTCTGCAGTTTGATTGAGTCGATTATCCAAATAGAAAATAAGAGGATATAACAAGACAATAAGAATGAATAGGGCATCAAAAAAATGCAGCGTTAGTCATGAAGGAATAATCTAGGCTTAAAGAAGGGATCTGCTTTTTGTATAGGTCCGATGCCTATATTTAACAGTGTACAAGATATGAAGACCAAGATGTGC